AGAGAGAGAGAGAGAGAGAGAGAGAGAGAGAGAGAGAGAGAGAGAGAGAGAGAGAGAGAGAGAGAGAGAGAGAGAGAGACAGTGCTGCTGGTCTGAAGACTCACGTTCTGACTTGAATTGCAAAGTTTGAACTGCAATCAGACGCTCTCTTCTTCACTTCACATATATGCAAACAGGTGGCGATTCACACTGGCGCCAAGCGTCCACTCATAGCTCAAAGATATGGAAACCGAGAACACGGTTCAGATGCAAACTCGCTTCAACAGGTTATGGCACATCAGCGCCTGTACACCCCAACTCTCGACACTGTGTCCTACACCACTGTTTGCACACACTCCACTCTGGATCACCCTGAATACCCCACACACATTCCCTGTATCACACACTCGTACACACGCACTAACACCTAACACTGGCTATGGCGGCTATGGCCGCCGGCTACCACTGGCTATGGCGTACTGACTCCTTCAAGCCCACTTCGACCTCGGGCATCTGCAGACCACCTCGCACAAGACGCTCGGGCAGCGCTTCCGCATGGCTCACGTAGGAATGAATGAGTGGCTGGAAGCTGCCTCCTGATTTATACTTTTGTAGGTCGTTGGTCTGCCCTTTTCCACCGGGCCTTGGTGCACACAGTCCCTCATGGTACTTGCTGACTGTGCAAAGTGAGACTGGGACTGGGTACCGCTAACTAAGCGAAGTTGGGCTCACCACTTGCCCACTTGCCTTTGGCCTGCTGTGTATAACGTGAGAAGAAATTTGGAAGGCCACTTCCGGACCTTGGATGTTTGCGGACTTGGCCTTTCAGGACTGTAGCAGCTATGACCTTGACCTTTCAGGACTGTAGCAGCTACGACCTCGACCTTTCATAACTTCAACAACTATGACCCCTATGCAGGTATGACCCCTACTTTGACAGGTCTAAGGTTCAACACCCGACAACTACTCAGACCTACGACAGACAACTTTCAACTACTAACACACAGGTCACAGGTTCAAGACTCACAGGGTCGACTTGATACTGTACACAGGTAAGGTAAGGTAGGGTGAGGTCTGGGGATCGAACCCTGGGATCCGCATTTCACTCCTGCCAGCCTAAATTCGAGGTCCTCCGAGAATACTTCAGTCCAAGGCTGGAATTTTACCTTTCTTATCTCTCTCATAGGCGCGAACTAAATCGGGAGCGGTCTCAAGCAGCACTGCTCGTGTAAACTAGCGGTCGTCCTCTGGTTCCTGAAAAGCGAACCTGACCTTATACTGTTCCTGTAGACGACCCCTACCTCCTGTTCTGAGGACATCGTCACCTACGATGCCGTCAATGTCGTACCTTCCATCCATGTCCGGAGGGATCATGGATCTTCGTGATGGAAACTATCGACTTGTGATACAAGGCAGCAACTTTGAGGCATGAAACACTGGGTAGGTGCGGAGGTGCGCTGGAATCTCGACTGTGTAGGACGGTCAATCCTCTTCTCCCTTGACTTCTAAGACTGGCCACGGTCCTCGGTATGCAGGCAGTAAGTTTTGGGAGATGTTCTCCTCAGGAACAAACTCTTTGGACTTGACCCAGACTAAGTCGCCTACTTGAAACTGTGATGGGCGACGGTGCTTATTGGCTTGTTCTATCATTCTATGTTGGGCCTTCCTGAGGTTCTTTGTGATGTTAGCCATCTCCTTTTCATAGTGTA